CGTACCTGTCCGCCAGTTAGCAAGCTGATGATAATCATTGACAGAAGGAGACATACGATGTCACAGGTATATCACCACAATCCAAAACCTTCAGCTCACTAACGAATGGATTCGCCTCCAATGGTACATTGTAGCCACCGCTAAATCCCAATTTTCGTGAGCCTTATAACATCACTATTGTAAGCATAGGTAATCATTATCAACGTACTAGAGATTAAGACGGCGAGAACCTTGTCTGATACCACTCGGGCCGAATCTTGCACCAGGTCTGTATGAGGTGCCAGTATCGAAGGGAGCCCCTGGGACTGTGAGCACTCCACAAGAGAGCCAATAGACAGATTCAAAAACTCACCGATGAAGGCGATATCGTATTTCTCTGCTTCGCTAGAGAGACAAGGGAAGTAGGGCAGACGACCGAACGTTGAGATGCCAGAGAAGACGGAGTCCGCCTGAGTACCACCATCTCCCGGGATAGTATTGTACCACAAACTTTGATGCGGACCAGCGATGGCCTGTTGCCGATGATCGCTATGCGCAGACGCAATGGCGAAAAGTGCCAAAAGACTCAGCGTGGAACTGATCATGTTGCAGTACGAGTGTGCTTATATTGAGAACCTTGTGGATGAGAGAGATACCATAGGCTACGAAGGAAGATAGATGTATTTATGGCTACACAGTCCCATGCAGACTTTCAGTCCATTCCGTGTATGATCTCGCTCATAGCTGGCGTCCGCGGAGTCGAAGCTCGACAGATGAGGACTCCGATTTCGCACAGGTTGACGATCTTGCAATCATTGGAGAACATTCTGGGCAGGACATCACCTCTCCAGACAACTTCCTATATCGAACAAACAAAGTCAATTCGAGCTCCATATGCCCATCACCGATAGAGTTAGGCTCCGAGAATTCAGAGCTCAGTGGGCCAGACTCGCAGCGGCTGACGACTTGGGCTTCTGTGCTTGACCAGATCCAGGTAATAGCAGGAGAACTAGTGCTCGACAAGGCAGAATCTGTATCTGCAGAACGCATTCCGCCAGCAGGATATGCCTATGGGGCTGGAATGAAGCAGTGACATCAGGACCGTTGGCAGAAGCCTTGCCTGAGTGGACAGTGGGGAAAAGCAATATGCAATCTAGACATGCTAATTTCAGATCCCTTCCCAGAAAGGAAGGCCGGAAGAGGATGAAGGCTAGGTTCCAGAAATATCAACGAAGCAAAAGACGAATTGATGACTGACTTCTTATCAGTTGATGCTGGTGGCTTATCCCGACGCTATCTTGACGTGTGGGGTGTCACTGATAACACTCAACCCTATTTCGACATGTCCTCTTGGATTACTCTGTGGGGGAACGTTAAGCTGCATGATGAATTGACATTCGCGGTGGATACATTTTTAATCCTGGGGAAGCATAGCTTATCTGCAGCCACTGGTCTCGTTCTGCTTCTCAATCGTCCTTCCTTTTTAGACCATCGATTGAGAGCGAACAACAGACTTTCTTGTCATATGGTGACATGGTCTCTTTTCTCATGGTGACCAAAAGAAATAGTGTTGGCAGCAGTGTGCCCTTATCATATCGTTCTTACCAATAAGCGTCTGCTGACATTTGTCTTCGATCTACGGCTTCAGGTAATGGGAGAGTGTCGAAGACACACTGGTACCTTTGATCTGCCTCAGGCACCTACGTACCTCTCAAGGTAGTGAGAAGCAGAAAGTGCCTTAGCATCGTTTTGCTTCTTGATATTATTCGATTTGCTTTGTCTATTCCTCCAGTAGCAACTATTATATCTAAATCCCCGTCTCGAGACGCTCATGCACATCCATCCGCTGAAAGGCCTTTTCCACCTCCGTATCCCAATTGCTAAAAGCCACAATCAGCCACTCCAACACCCCGACAATGTAAAGCGCAATGCATTGTCCCACCCATAATCCTTTCAGACCCCACCCATGAAACGCAAGCCAGATCCCCAGAGGCAACGCGCCACAGTAATAGCTGATCAGGTTCACCATCGCGCCCACATGCTGCCGGCCCATACCTCGCAGACTCCCCCCACAGCTCCCATTCAGCCCATCCGCAATCTGGAACAGAGCAACATACGGCAGCACCTCAGCCGTCAGTCGCACCACGCCTTCGTCGTCATTGAAGATCCTCGCAAAGTCGTTCCGCGTACCCATAAGCACACCCAGCACCACCCCACCAAGCAGCATACTCAACCACGCCGCCGTATTCGCAGCACGGGCTGCACCACTCGCATCTCTGGCCCCGAGAAGGTTGCCGACTCGCGCCGATGCAGCAACGCCCACCCCAAAAGGGATAGTATTGAGGACTTGATCCGCGGTCATGATCACGCTCTGCGCAGCTAGCGGGATGGTCCCCAGGCGGCCGGCGGCGAGGGCGACGATCTCAAACGCCCACCACTCCGTGCCGACGTGGATGACGCCCAAGAAGGCGAGACGGGCGAATGTGCCGAGATTGTTGAGAGCTTCTCGCGACCAGCCGCCCCAGCATTCCGAGCCGGCGATGAACCGTGCGTACAGGACGAGGAGGCCAAAGGATAACCAGTAGGATATACCTGTTGCTAAGGGGGCGCCCAGTAGACCCATCCGGAAGGTGTAGCAGAAGAGGTAGTTCAAAAAGGCGTTGAAGGGGGAGGTGATCAGGAGGACGTAGGTTCCCGGCCGCATGATTCCTATGACAGTCCATCTTTAGCTGGAACTCAGCCGAGAGAAAGAAGAGACAATACCTTGAGCCTGGAGGTACTTCTTCATCACCTCGAAATAGATATACCCTAAACCCCCGGGAATCAAACACGTGAGAAACCGTGCACTGTCTCTCGAGAGAACCTGATCCTGACCCAAGAAAAGAAAAACATGCTCAGAACAAGCCCACAGAATAGCAACGGGGATGTAGAAAAGACCCAGAACGAAGAAGCCCCGCTGCAGCAGGATGCCAAGGTCATGCTTGTTCGAGCTTCCCGTGAACGACGTCGAAGCCAACGTGTCCAATGCGGTCGTGCCTCCCAGGGCAATCATCCACGCAGTGATCATGGCGAACATGAGGGAGAAGGCGGAGGTAGCGAGGTGCTCCGGCGATAGGCGTCCGACAATTAGCACAGACGAGGTTTGTAGACTGTTCTGGAGTGTGTAGGCTAGGATTACCGGGATTGATCCGTTGAGCAGGTGCCAGAATTCTGCGATGACAAGGCGTCGGTTCGAGACATCGTCCTCGCCAGCAACGGTTGTTCCGCCGTTCAGGCGCGGGCTGTCAATGTCTGTTGGCTCCGGGAGGAGAGAAGTATACTCGGTTGGACTGTCTCGCTCTGTGAAGGAGCTACTCTTGCGAATTGGATTATGTGGGACGGGCATTGTGTGACAATAACAGAAGGTCATGTATAGGATGCATAGGACAGCATCAGGAAGTAATCTATATATCACATATACATCACCATGTCTAAGCGAGAAGCTGAGCCACCAAGTTGGCAGTAAGCGACTTCCGAATAGATAGGAGACCAAATAGCCAGTGTAGGTCTTTCGAACAGCCAACCAACCCAGTGATTCAGCGTTCGATCAGTTTCCTATCGTCAGTCTTGGATTTTCTTTACAGTCACTTCACTCAATCTCACCATCCTAAGCACCCACAAAAAGCGCATCTCTGCTATCTCAACGACCGGTGGATCACGCCAACCGACCAAGGAGCAAAGTCAAACATTGGGTCGACAACTGAACCGTCTTGAGGACTTCACTTGACTTGCATGGACCGCATAGTACGGATAGAAGACAGTCCAATGCATGAAACTAGCCTGTAGACTACTGCAAGCAGTCTGGCCATTCCTCATCAGACAGTCCGATCACGGAGCCCTTATCTATGCTGGCCGCATGTAATGCAGATAATCGTAGAGACAACAACTCGAGTACAATAACAGTCTGCCTCTCCAAATATTGACCCAAATTGGAAGGTAATCTGTAACTCTATTTAAGTGTAGCGAGGAAAAGAAAATGAACCGAGCAAGTGATCAATTGACCTCGGAGAAACAGAGCTCTTCTCAGTATGTCGCCCCCGCGATTGATAACGACCCCTGATGGTGCTCAAGTCTGGACAGTTGAAGCGTACTACTTTTGACTACAATGCAATCTTTTATGTTTTGGAATAGATGCCTCGGACGAGTGATAGCCGATGTTGGTTGGTTGACGAGTGAAATTATATTTTCAGCTTATATGTTCCTATCCACACACTCTTGTATGCAACCTTGTAAATGCCGAGGACGCGGTGGAATACAACATCATTTTCCCTTTGGGAAAAGAAGGGGACGACAAATCGATTTAATTAAGCCGAATTCTTCATTAGCGAGTAGATCGTCAGGAAGTCATCGAAGAATAAGTCAATCTTGGTGCACAGGCTCAGACCAGAAGAGACAGTCTCAAAGGCCCATCAAATTGATGACAGCATCTAATTTCTCCAAAAACAAATGCGATGACTACCCTCAATCAATCTTCTCTTATCATTTTATCTGCAACAGCTAACTGGCAAGAAACTCTGTGGTTGCTTGTGGAATGAATAAACCACCACTCATTCGGGCTTGTTGCAGGCAGTGGTCTAGTAGAGTTCAGCGATATATCAAAAAAACGCAAAGCTACGTTGCGCCACTGAGGCCCTAATATCCATTTAGAAAGGATGAGTATCCAACGAGTCCTGATATCTTATCACTTACACAGCCTTATTCAAGCTTTTGACTTACCAGTTGATCGCCGAAAATGTCCCAGACAAATCACGCACAGATAAGGAAGTTATTCTTTGATATCAAGGTAGCTTTTGATTTGACAATGGCTCGACTGGACTATACTCCTGTAGGTCTGGTACTTTGGTCTTTATGGCTCTTCTATTCCATGGTGTGATTGTAGATAGACCTTATATACCCTCGAAGGACGAATACATTCATGAGAGAATGAGCTATAGATCCATCAACAAGACGCTCATTCTCAATCGAATGCCTCCACATAGATCATGGAAAAAGAACTAATCAAAGCCGGTCTAGGCGATTCGCAGAGAGTCAGCGCGATGGATGAGAAGCAGTCTGTTCCAATTGAGCTGGGGGTCATTGGCGAGACTACCTTAGAGCAGAATGGAATTAAGATACATCCTCAACCGACTTCAGATCCCTTAGATCCGCTGAACTGGTCACGACTGGAGAAGCACACCATCTTGGGAATCGTCATGTTCAAGTCAGTCATCGCATAGCTCAAACATATCTGCGAGCCATTGCTAATGTTTGAAGATACTTCCTATTCACTTACATCACGACAACAACAGTCCCTTCATTCCCAGAGCTCCAGTCTCAGTTCAGTATCAGCTACTCAGAAGTCAACTGGACAGTCGCGATTCCTGCACTAGGTCTGGCAGTCGGGCCCCTCTTTTGGACTTCGTTCAGCGACATATACGGCCGTCGGACCATCTTCATTACCGGAACAATCATTGCCCTCGTGTCGACAATCGGAGTAGCGGTGGCAGACAATTATGGCGGATACATGGCTGCTCGATTCTTCCAGGGGTTCGGGGTTAGCCCAGCGGCGACGGTTGGAATGGCGGTTGGTAGGTACCTCTGCATCCTCTAGATCAACAGTGACGGAGGAGGTACTGACGCATGTCCAAAGTCAATGATCTTTTCTTTGACTATGAACGCGGACAGAAACTTGGCCTCTGGGTTCTAGCGATTGACTCTGGGCTCTTACTGGGGCCAACCTGTGAGTGATTCAAGTATCTCTCCCCCCATGGCACGTGCTAAGGCTTCTTAGTTGGTGGTTTCTTGAATGTAGTGAGCGCTGCATGGATCAATTGGTTCAACGCCATTCTCTTCGCCGTGCTGCTGGTCCTCGAACTCTTCCTCATGCCCGAAACCCTGTATCCACGCGCAACTATGCTACAGCGCATGCCGCGGGAAGGTCATAAACCTCCGACCTCTTCAGATATTGAACAAAGCCCAGCTGACGAGAAGACTGGGGCCATGGCAGCAGCAACCGGGCCTGCCATACCAAGAACAAAAGAACTCGGCTTCTTCAATGTCAGACCTGTTGCCGGCATGCGGCATCCTAAACCATGGGACTCCGTTGTTCGCTTTATTCTCACTTTCCGATTTCCCGTCGTCGTTATCAGCGTCATCGGATACTGTTTCTTGTGGTATTGGTGGATTCTGTCGGTCATTACGATGGTGCCTGCTGCGTACCCATCGTACACCCCGTTGATTCAAGGACTCCTGTTTCTTGGGCTGTTTCTGGGGACTGTGACCTCGGAGATCTGTTGCTCGGGTAGACTGAGTGACTATATAGTTGGGAGACTGGCGAAGAGAAAAGGCAGCGTACGCGTCGCCGAGATGCGCCTGTGGCTGGCCTACCCTGCTATCCTCATCACAGCTGGTGAGTTGATTGTTCTGTTAGCTTGCACATACGGGGCTAATCTGGATGGCAGTGGGACTTGTTGTCTGGGGTGTCAGTATTGACAAGAACTACCATTGGATGATTGGTCAAGTCGCGTTCTTCCTATGCAAGTCTCCCCAGCTGATGGATTGATGAATCGCTACTGACAGTCCTCAGTCGCAGCTGGAATCCAGATCGGAAATACCGTCACAAGCAGCTATATCATCGATAGCTATCCGCTGCAGTCAACGAGTGTGATCAACTTCTATGCCGTCTTCCTCAACTTGAGTGCATTTATGAACCCAGTATGTTGCTTAACAACACATTCTTGATTGCTGAGATGGCAGCTGACTTGACATACCTAGTTCTTCATTGCACAATGGCAGGCCACGGCAGGATACACGTGGACGTTCACCACGCAGGCTTTGATCGTTGCAGTTGCTGGAACGGCCGTATTTGCATTGTTGCACTGGTTTGGCGCGTCCATGCGGAAGAAGTCACCAGTGCCATCATGGGTGAATCCTGAGTTCGACTCAGGGTGTTGATCTGTAAATCGATGCCATTGCTAGAAGCCCTTACTACGTATTTAGAGAGAAGATACCTCTGTAAATAATGAGCGAATCCTTTGAGCCTGGCACTCCGTAGACAATCTTGTCTTCCACTGCTTGCATGGACTTCGTTTTCAGTTCTTAGGGAATCTATATGACCCGTAATCATACAAGGATATGGACATAAGATCTAGACTGCTGTGTACGGCTATATTGATAAAGAACTTAAGACTGTCTTGTGTAAGAGTCATTATGTCCTGACTGCCTCAGACCACTGTCTCTGTAACATGACCAAGCTGTTTGATTTTCCTCATTCACTGCCTTTCAATGCCGTATACCTGTTTGTCTCTGGATCCGCTGGATATTCAATAATAATAATAGCTGCGGATTCACTACTATGAGGTACTATCTTTATTCATCTCCCCATCCTGAGCTATAAATTCACTCAACTCCCCAGCTAAGTCAACAACTCTCATCTGCCTCTCGCCATCGCCTTCTTTTTGTTCTCTTTTAAGTCCTTTTTCAATATGGACATGCTCAGGATTAGGATCCACGACCCTGAGATATCCATAACCAGCACCACTCGTGCATTTGTGTAGTCTCTTCCGGCAATTACACCTCGATCAGCATGCATTTCTCATGGCCTACCCAGCTGAGCAGGGTCAGGAGCACCGAAACTCATTCGTCCCTGGCACCTATCAGGCATAGAGCAAACAGATATATCCTAGCGTAATGAATTGGTAAGTGTTTTTTGGGCACTTTAGTCTGAGATTCTTGCAGCTACTCCAATGCTGACTCTCGTGTCTCCCGCAGGCGTCCGTCATATGTGGGACTTCACAGGCTGAGACGAACGACAATTCCTGGCTTACAAAGTGGAAGCGGATCAACAAATGGATTTACTCCGTAGGCAGAGATTCAGGAGCACTCAGCTGAATGACCCACTATCGATGCGGAGAAGCCAGTCATCTATAGGGGTGAGGCTTCTCGTCACTGGTCCAGATGCCAGCGGAAGTTCAGCACTATAAAAAAACAATTTCCAAGACTCGCACTTTGGAGAAACAGGAGAAACACGAGGACGGAGAGCTTGACACGTTTTTCTACGGAGACGCCGCTGTACTAGACAAATGTCTTGTCTATCCAACACAAAGGAACAAATCTAGGGGACCTCCTTTGGTCCAACGGGATCAGTAGTGACTTAGGGACTTATGAGCCTTCATTGAGGTACCTGGGAGTCCTCGCCTGCTGACGATGACGACGATCCTTTCTATGATGTTTCTGCTCTCTGACGCTGAGGCGGAGGCTTGAGGATGGTGACCTTCTGTTTTCCTGATGCCACGCACACATATTGCAGCGGCGCTACTGGGCCATTTGGGCTGGGACGGCCCCGGTGTCATGGGGGAACTAAATCTCTTGTTTACAGGTTCTCTCCCGGATGCTCAAGCTTTTCTTCGAAAAGCGTCGCTTGGTGAAAGGCAACATAAATTCTGAAGGAACTGCAGAGGTGGAAAGTGATGTTCTACCGAAGAAGCCGGTGAAATCGAAGATGCTTAGGTTGGTCTCGATGATTGAACGAACGTCGATGAGCGAAGGAATGTTTATGGTTTCCTTCGTAACTAGCTGTTTTTTGAGTACTTGAGCTTTCATTGACAACCACGATCTCCCCCCATCCCCCAACCCCCCCGGGGAGTATAAATGCTTCTCTGCCTCCTATCATTGAGCACTTACCCTCTTGCATCTTCGTCTTCCCACTGATCTCCTGACGGCATTGCTCGCACCACCTACATCTCTGCCTGTCGGTGTTTTGATTACCCATTACCATTCTCCATCTTCTTTTCAGACAAAATTAGTGGATACTTCTGCACGCTTAACGATGACCTAAGCGCTTAACGATGGGTTCAATGGACCCCCTACCGACGTGATGGGAAGACGTCAGCCTCAGCCAAAGGAACTAAACGTACGACGCTCGGACGACCCTCACCAGAAGGCAGCGGGGCCAGCGAGGCAGTTTTGCCCTTATATTTATCTTTGTGCTTAGTTGATTGGGCAACTTAGCTAAATCGAATCGAATGATTACAATCACCCCGTTTGAATTCCATCCTAGTTTGTTCGATTGATCCCATTGATCATATCTGACCCCTAGTCATCTCATCATTTTCAATCGCTAAGCCACAGACAAGAAGTATGACTGCGAACCAAAGAAGAGTTTGTCCTTCGAGCCAAGTAATTTGGCAGAAGAAGATGATGTTGATTTGTCATACCCAACAATCTGTCGCTGTATCCTGAGCGGATTGCAGAGCAAAATTCGATGTGGGGTGGCGTGAGATTCCCAGCCCAAGATAAGGACTTACTAGTGAAATATGGCATACCTGAGGACATCGCCAGTGATAGAGGCACATAGCCACTAGTTTTGTCAGGCCATTGGCAAATTATTCGACATTTCGCTTGTCGGCCCAGCCAGCTACTATCTGGGGATGAAAATCGGCCTGGGCATTGAGAAGAGATGTGTTAAGCTATCTTAACAAGCCTATCTTTAATGCCTTGTCGACACTTTTGATCCGCATTCAATCAAAACAGCAGCGACGCCCATGGAAGTGGGTGCTCGACTAGTCAAATCAAATCTGCCTGTCGGACATGACCTTGTACTAAAGGAAAGATACAGAGTGGGAGTTGGCTTAGTGATGTATCCCATGCTCCAGACCAGGCCAGATACTGCTTTTGCTGTCAGGAAGTTAGTGAGGTATACTGTGAACCCTGATAAGTTATATTATAAGCACCTTGTTCACCTTATTTGATTCTTCTGACAAACCTTGCATATTGGAATCGCTTACAAGCCTCATGACGTGAAGGATATCATGGACAAACTAGGTGTTGTCGGTGGCTATGTGGATGCAGATTACGCCGGATGTATCGACACTAGATGTTCGACTACTGGATACATATTCATGTTTAGCAATAGGCCTATCTTGTGGGCTTCCAAGCTGCAATCGGTCGTCTCCTTGTCTACCGGAGAGGCTGAATACGCTGCCATCGTCCACGCTGTGAAGGAAGCTATCGGGCTTACCTATCTCCTCAAAGATATCAGTTTTGGTAGTGTGCGGCCCATGCAGATCAACACTGACAGCCAGCCCGCCATGGACCTGGCTCACAACGCGCAATTCCATGCACGTAGCAAGCATATCGACATCAATTGTCGCTGGATTAGAGATGCAATAGTCAAGAAGCAGGTCTTCCTACAGCATTTTTCGTTGGATAAGATGATCGCGGATCTCATGACGAAGCCGCTCGGTTGTCTAAAGTTCGACCAATTCTTCAAGGCGCTGGGGCCTAGCCTAGCGAAGCACCGCGAACGGCAGATCACCGGCTTAACGCCATGATCATCGACTGACTGCCTAATTGGGAAGTGGCTACGACCTCAGTGATCGGATCAGGGAGTGTGTGGCAATCAGTATGGCAGGGATCCGATCACGTGATATCGCTTAATAGATTGCTCCTACCATTCTGTATGATAAACATGCACTTTACATAGTAACGAAATCAACGAAAATATCTTCATATTTGGCCTCCTTGTGCTGCGTTATCTACAAGTTTTAGAGAAGCTTGGAATGACAGCATTGGAATGCCAGGAAGACACCGCAACATATCCTAGATTTCATGCCTACTGGGTTTATCTTTCCCTGGCAAGGCGTCTGGGGTTAACTGTTCTCGCTCAATGAAGTGCGTTATACAGAGACGCCCCTACATCTCACGTTGACAATAGTAAAGCAGCTTTGAATCTGCATTCAATAATGAATCCCCTATATGGTACAAAGAAGCTAAAGAAAGCATTTAAAGCATTCCTATTGTGCTCAAGGGGGAATCTCAGCCTTCAAAGCGCCTCCCGAAGCCCAAAGCTCTTGTAAGTCAAGTAAACGCCGATTATGCTTCCATGGAAAAACGCCCGCGAGAGCATATGGGCAGAAAGGTTAAAGGAATCAAGAAAATCGTCAAATTGGAACGGACAGGAGTCATCCAGATCATCCTAATCATGCTCGACGGAAGCCGTTATCAGTCGCCTGTAGCGACCCTTGTAGGTGGACGCTTAATGAGAAAGATTGGAAGAATGACCAATCAAAAGAGCAGAAGTGGTGCCACAATCAAATCTCGCTACCCAGTAGCAGTAGTCCCGAGCTCCGTAATATGCAGCAGCCCCACGGGAAGTCAGAGGTGACCGTATAACTTCAACCGATAGAAGCAGGTAAAGTTTGCCCCCCAATTTGAATTGACGCGAAAAGCGATTCGGTCTACACGGATGTCGGGCTGGTCGATGATCGCATCCAAACTGAACTCCTGGATGTGGTGTTGCCCGTGGAGATCATACTTCCACTTCCCTACACGGTAAAACGTCGGTCCCAAAGTCGTAGCGTTCCAGTAAGCACTTTCCGGTTCATTGTGGTAGGCGGGACGAAGATAGCCCATTATATAGTCGTGCAGTGAGAAGCGCTCTGATAGCATCGGAGACTGGTACTCCGTCTCGAGTACCTTAGACTCAAAAGAGAGGAGCCAGTTTAGGTAGGATTTATACCAACCAGCAGATCCTGCTTCCGTCGGAAGATCACTAGACGTACTCTTGTTGATCGTGTATCGAGCCCAGAGCTCCATCTCCTTCGGTGCAGCTCCTGGGTTAAGGGTAGCATGTTTTGGAATATGCTCGACAACCACCTCCTCCGGTACAATGGGCCGGCTCAAGTGAAGACCTAGCTGCGACACACCATCTCGTGGAGCGCTACACCAGCAATCTCCCACACTGTCCCAGGGCACCAAGGCCGTAAGAGGCGGGTTCGGCTTTGGACGCGCATCTGTACCCAAGTCAGATACCTGGTCCTGCAGCCACTTAGGCAGCCTGGATCTCTTCTCTCCATAGGTTGGACTTGTCATGCGCGGATCTACCAATACGCCCGTGCCTATACTGAGAAAATTGGGCTTCTTAGGCACTTTGACCGGCTCGATGATAGCGGTTG